TTAGCTTTTCCTCTTATTGACAAAAAAAGTTAAAGAACGTAGACTTGTACTGAACTCAAAAAAAATTTTTTACAGGAGTAGGAAAAGTATGAAAATGTCGTTATAATATATACACCAATTGAAGCTCTTAAAAATTAGCAAAATCATGGAAATTTCTTTTCTCATTATCTTCTTCTTTTAAGAACGATTCCTATTTGAACAATTGTCCTAAATCCAGTTCGATCTTACAAATCTTGACCCCACAAAGGTAGCGCCTACTATATCCCGACGACAATCTTTGCAACTAGTAATTTAGGGTGTACAGGCGCACCCTCGAACGCTGCTGTCTGTAAGTGAATGTGTGTGAGTGTGTGTACAGATGTCTATCTCGTGGCCATCTCTGGTGGTTATCTCTCCCTCGAAAACGGGCGTATTATGTGCCGAAAAATGGATTGGGACTCTATTGAATATATGTATGTTTCTCTCTTTCCCGAGATTTAGTTGGGTAAAGGGGAAGGGGGGCACGCCCTAAGCAGGTCAAGCAATAAATCATTGTATCACTATTTGCAGTTTGGCACATAAACGGGGAGAGACTTGACGATTCAGACGGTTCAATTCGCTAATGACCTCGTCAATTCGGGAAATGAACTATCACTTCGTCACTGGCAAAGGTCGTTCCCCCCGTCAATTCCATTGAGCCACACCCGGCCCTTACACAAAACGATACCTCAGCGGAAATCGGTAAAAAGTGCTCGGATTGGGAGTTAGTTCAGTGGTAAGTCAATAGAGACTTAAAAACCTCTGGTTAAAGTAAACTTTGGCTCACCTTCTTAGCATGCAGACAACTAGCACAGGTAGCGATACACATTGGGATTGTGAAGAGTAGAGTGGCTAGCGATGCGGCAAACACACAGAATAATCCGATCGACGTCCAGAGTCGTGGTCGAACCTAAAAACAACGGTTTAATGTCCTAACTTCAAAAATCGTCGGGTTAAATTAGTTCTACTTACTCCACATCTA